CGCTCTTCCCTTGGACCTGGTGGTAAGCAGAGGAGGACAGCTCATCTGTTCCAGTTTGCTGCTTCCATGCTGATGCACAGGATGCTAGTCATCAGGCTCCTACTGGAAGTGCTGATAACTCTCTGAATGCAGTGTACTTAGAGGCTGTAATTATTGCATGCTAGACCAGAATAGAAGAGCAGGAGGGTAGCATGCAAAGAGGGGAGAAGAGCCAGTCTGTTTATTGTTGGAGCTTGGATACCATCATTTATTTGAAGGGCAGTGTCATTGGGGATTTTAAAACCTGATCTTGAACCTCTCTGCTTCTGATACGTGGATGATACAGCATGGGCTTGTATTCTTCTTTCTGCAGCCCACAGATGACATCGTCCTCATGGCCCAAGCCCTGGAGAAGATATTTCTGCAGAAGGTGGCCCAGATGCCTCAGGAGGAAGTCGAATTATTACCCCCAGTTCCTAAAGGCAAAGGTCGCAAGCCGTCAGCAGGCACACAGAGTGCAGGTATTAACCCAGTCCAGTGACAGTAAATGTTGTTGTGAGCCTGTTGCAGAGACCTGACCCACCTTTCAAGCTGCCTGGCTTTGCAAATGGTGAAGAGGCTAGGAAGGGAGCATGTAGTCTAACGGTTAAAGCAGTGGAGGGAAGTGCGAGATGTCTAGATAATGTTCACCCAGTGTTTCAGGGCTTGTCTGTCTTAAGGCCACTCTGCATTTGTCACGCAAACATCATACCGTCTTGACTTATGCATCCATGCAGCACTTCAGTGAGGGAGGGCAACGCTGTTGCTTCTTGTGTGCAAAGAAGAAACCAAGGCAAGAAGAGGCAAAGTAGTTAGACATTCCAGTCTGCTGCAAGTGACTATAAAAGCTTGGAATGCCTTTACAGACCTGGGTTTATACAGCTCACCTGAGGTCCTGGCAGAAGTCTGACACAGCAGAGACTTGGACTTAAAACTTGCCAATCCCCTAAACCCCATATAACATTTTTCTTTTGCACACAAGATTGCAACATCATAGAATAAAGTTTGATCAACAGAAAGGATTTATTAAGCCATTGCAAAAAGCTGTGTAGACCATTGCATATCAGTAGAACTAAGTTTAGTTCAGCTTACCTAGAGTTGATTTTAAATGGATTTAGGACTAAAACGTCTAAGCATGGTAAAACAGTTCATAAAGGAGGTTGTGTGGGCTGAATTAAACTGTTGCAAATTTTTTTCTGTGAACAAGGTCTAATTGTTGCTCTGGGAAAGTCAACTGTTCCTCTTTGTTTTCCCACTTCTCAGGTGTCAAATGGAGCTACAACTTCATCCAAGCTCAGAGAAATTTGTGATGATGTGTCTTTTCAGCATCCTTTGATAAAAGTTGCTATAAAAACATAGAGGAGTATTGCTACTTTGGTTATTAGTTACTAGCTTTGTCCCCCTTAACTTTACACAAGTTCTTTAACAGTGCGGTTATAGCATAAGAGACATTTGTCTGGCCATCAGGAGGCTCTACTCCCAGCTCTGTTTCTTTCGTTGTATAACTTGTGGCAAATCTGAAGTGCTTTGGACTCTTGGATGTTTAGCTGGCAGTAGGGGAGTGGTTGTTACCATTTGTTATGCATAGTAAACACACTCCAGATTGAGGTCTGTGTAGGACAGCAGCTGTCCAAAAGAGCCATCTCCCTCCTTTTCCTCTCCTTGAGCTCCTGCTCTTTTGCTGAGCGCAGGATTGCTCTGAGAGCACAAGAGGGGTGAAGACTGTCCCAGAGCAACACACCCCATGTGCAAAGCTTGAAGTGTTTTGCTTGCATGTGGCTGGCCTAAAGCTCATGGTATGAGGACTTAGGTCAGTGATTTCTCATTTTTTGTTGACCCCTGGGTAACAGCACTAAGCAAATCACACTGTGTCCTTTGTGCTCTTCCTGTGGCCCTGGACTGGGAGCCTTTTGCCAAGCCCATGATTGCACAGTCCAGCGGCACCAGTGTCACTTTGTTCCCAATGTCTTGTCGGCACTTGTAACCATCAGTACATTGCAGTGCGTTTTCACTTTGTCGTTTGAAAGGAGCGCAGCAAGCAGTGGCCGTGTCTTCCGTCTCCCCGCCGGCCCCGTTTCAGAACGTCCCTCCAGCTGTGTCTCAGACGCCCGTCATTGCTGCCACCCCTGTGCCAACCATCACTGCTAATGTCCCGCCTGTCACTGCCCCTCCCGCCGCTGCTCCCCCTCCGCCTGCTGCTCCGATAATGCCCGTGGTGCCTCCTACGCCACCGGTAGTCAAGGTAAATGGAGAACTTGACCCCTTCCTCTTCAGAAGACAATATTGCTAAGCAGTGCTTTATTTTCATCCCCTCACTGCTGGTTATGTACATTCCTTCTCTTCACATTTAACTCCTTGCCTTTCTGGCCATTGTTGTCCCTTTGGGGTGTGCTCAGACAAGTGCTTACTATCAAGTGTGAGAGGGTTGAGAAAAGTTCTGCCAGTTTTACCGCACCCCAGCTAATGTGATGTCAACTGTAATTGCTCCAACTCAGTTACAAGCTCTCATCTGACCGTAGCCTTAGCCAGTGCTGATGCTCCATGAACCAGAAGGCTGTTGGAGGTTTTCCCCATTTTGCACCATATAGCCCAAAGCATCTCTTCCCTCTGTAACCCCCTGATTTCACTGGGACTATTACTTTACGGTTTGCAGACTCCAGCGCTAGGAATGTTCCTCGCTGCCATAAACCAGTTCAAGACAAGCCTGTCACTCCAGTTGGAGGAGACTGATGTTGCCTGCAGGTTTTGGGTGCATTAGTTCTGTCTTTCTTATTGAGGAATTTTCTGGGAGTTGCCATTGGTGTTTTGCTATTTACTGTGTTAATTTATGGGTAAATGAAAACATTGCTCTAAATAATTGGAATTTTCCTAGCAAGCTGTGTATTGCTTTAAAAATGATGAAAGCATAGCTCAGAGAAAGCTTTTTTCCTAAACTTGGAAATTAACTGCAACAGTATTGGTGTTCTCTGATGTGAGGTTGCATGGGCCAGCAGAGCCACATAATTGTTTTGCTTATTTAACCCTATAGTTTGGGAATTACTAGAGAAATTGTAAGTCAGATCTTCTTGCAGCTAAGCTGTCCTCCTCAGAAGCCTGTGTCATTCGTCAGTTTCTGTCCAAATAACTTGCTTCTGAGAATCAATTTAATTTTAAAACTCAAGGATGAAGCCAGAATTGAGTTTGCCAAATACACACTGCGAAAGTAATTCTGCTTGGGATTTACTTAAGATTTCCCTTAGATTTCCCTAAGGAACGTTTTTTCCCCCTTTCTCTCTCTCTCTCTCTCTCTCTCCAGAGAAATAAATCCTTCATAGGAGCACAAGAGAGCTGACTGGACAGTCACAGTTTGAATTTATGTGAGAGAGGCTTTATTTGCTTAAGGCAAAATCATTAAATTCTTGCTCTTGTCCATAATAAGCAATCTACCTTAGCACACCCACTAAATACAAAGTAGTGAGGGCTCATGGGTCTTTGGTGATTAATATGCTTTGGTTCAGAACTTATAGCCTGATCCTGCCACTGGGGACTCAGACATGTGGTTAAGTTACTGACACTTACTAAGTCACGATGCATCAGCTGAGCTGCAGTAATCGACTGGGCGCACTCCTTTCCCTTGGCAAACATGAGGTAAGAGTCCTTAGTTTAAATCTCAGTGAAATACATAGAGCTAACACATTTTGCATCATGTTTGGGGTTGGGTTGGAGACGTGCAAATGGCTGGTTACTGTGGCTCAGATGACATGTAGTAATACGTCGTGTTGTAGTCACTGAATTGTGTGTTGAAGCCTCTAGTCACAAGTCCCATTTATCCCAGTGAAGTAATTGTATTTTCTGTCAGGGGACAGGCAGATCTCAAAAATAAGGATGAATTGTGCTGGATTTCTGCTAGCGTAGCACGAGAGCTGGGCACGTACTCATGAGGCCTGTCCATCTGCTGTTTCAGAAAAAGGGAGTGAAGCGGAAAGCAGACACGACAACCCCCACCACCTCCGCGATCACTGCCAGCCGAAGTGAGTCACCCACGCCCCTCTCGGACCCCAAGCAGGCCAAAATCATCGCTCGACGGGAGAGCGGCGGCCGGCCCATCAAACCACCAAAGAAAGACCTTGAAGACGGAGAGGTCCCCCAGCATGCAGGGAAGAAGGGCAAACTCTCTGAGCACCTCAAGTACTGTGACAGCATTCTCAAGGAGATGCTCTCGAAGAAGCATGCAGCCTATGCATGGCCCTTTTACAAGCCTGTTGATGCAGAGGCCTTGGAATTACATGACTATCATGATATTATCAAACACCCCATGGATCTCAGTACTGTTAAAGTACGTCCACATTTACCACCTCTTTTGCAGGGTGTCACAGCCCTCTGGTTGCAGAGGACTGGCTCCTTCTGGGGGAGGGGGAAGGGACAAGGGTGGAAAACTGAACCTGTTTGGATATCATCTGGATATTTTTATATTTTGTTTCCTTCCCCTCTCCTTTTTTTCCCATAACCTGGGACATCTTTTTTCTGCCCTGCAAAGCAGACTGTACAATGGCATCCTCTCCTCTTTGTGGATAGTCCGGCTATTTAAACTTGTGTCCTTGGGATTGTGTTGCACTCTGAGAAGAAGAGGTGCTGTATTTCATAGGATTCGATTGATAGTATCCCATTTCCAGAAACTGCTGCCTGCCTACTTGTTGGCATGATGTGTGGTCCAGATAGGCTTACGCTGAGCAATTCCAACCGGAACGTGATGATCGCCTGGTACTCGGGGAGGGGAGGAAATACCATGATGTTTGTGCAGTTCATGCTTGGCTCTTCAAGAGCTTAGCTTAGTATGGTCCAGTATTAAAGGTATTTTTCCCAGTAGTCTGGGAGGTTTCTCTGAATCCCTCCTAAATATTCATGGAGCAAAGCTGTGTTTTTTTTCTAGTTCATCTTCTGCTTGTCAGCTGGCCATTGGAATCAGTGTTGGTGGAGGTGAGACTTTCTTCCATGTGCAGGAAGTTAAGGTATTTCTGCTGGCTTTTGTTAGCATGCCAGAAGTGTTTTGCTGCCATCTGAGCCAATGCCTGGGATTGTCTGAAGGCACAGGTGACAAAAGGGCAGCTGCATTCGTGATTCCTTTCATGTTCCTGGGCAAATCCTACGTAGTACCTGGAAGCAGTGTGTCGTGCTCTGATGTGCCATGCCATTCAGCCACGATGCTGCAAAGGTTCTTACTGCAGCTGCAATATTTTTGAGTATTTTAATTGCATTATTTAGTGGTGAGAGAATTGTTGTCATGGTCCGCGCATTGAGGATTAGACCGGGAGTTACCAGTGTCTGAGTTTTAATTGCTGTTGTGATGCTATGGTCCTGGGCAAGTTTCCGCACAGCTCTGTGCAGCTGTTTTCCCAGTCATAAAACAGAGATAATAATACTTAACCTACCTCACAGGGCTGTTGTGAGGACAGATATCTGGAAGGCACTATCTAAGTACTAATTGTTACTATTATTGATTGGGTTTGTATAGCAAAGACCGTCTCCGAGTTGGCAAAAATATTGGAAGCGGGCTCTGGTGGAGCTAGGCTTGGAGACCATTCATCTCCTGCGCTTGCAGTGCCCTTGCTTTGTTTACGAAAGCCAGTGCAACATGCAGTATTTTTGACTTGCAATTAAGCTGAGCTGTGTTAGAGGCCTACAGCAATTTCCTGGGAGGAGAAGAGGGCAAGACGAAGGGTGAGTTGAACTGCAGGCAAGAAGAAGGAGCCTGAAATACAGTGGTAAAAGCAGGAAAGATGGCTAAGTTGAACATGGTAGTCTGCAAAGCTGGCTACCTGACTTTAATGTTCTGCTGATAGAGGAAGGTCCCAGTGTTTTCTTGCCTAAGTTTCCATTTTCTCTTACTCCTGAGTGTGGATGAGGAAGGAAGACGCTCCCCTCAGTTTTGGTACTGCAGTGCATTTGCCATCCTGCTGATTTTGGATGCCCAGTGCTGAAGGCCTACTTAATTCTTGTGTGTTGTTTTAATATATGACTTGCTGTCAAGGTTTGCTCACTTCGCTTTGCATTGGAGTTGCTCTTCTCCACCAGCTTGGAGGTCCATCCACATGGCTTGGATCATAGGCTAATGGACAATTCAGATTGGTCAGGAGGCCTGCCTCCTGCTCAAAGCAGGGTCACTTACGCATTCTGCTCTGCTCCTTTCCAGGGGTCATCACCTTCTCAGCTGAGTGGATCTGACCTTGCTCCTCTGATGCCACTGAGTGTGCTGGGAGCAGGAACAGCAAATGGGGTTTTTGGTGTTCTTCTCTAAGTCATATCAAAGGTGCAGTACTTAAGTGGCATTAGGAACCTTCATATATGATGTTCTGTTTACTGGGCATACAGTTACATTTGCCCATGCTCATCATAAGCGACACATAAAAATCTGTTCTGAGAATCTATAAACTGGCCAGTAGCTCTAAAGGAATTTCATAGTATGTCTGATTCGTAGAAATGACTGAGATGGGAAGAGGCATCTCTTCCTGATTGTCACTGTTCTTTTTGTTATCACATTAGAGTGATGAAGTGTTATTGATAGCCTTTTCTCTGCTAGTCTTGTGAACACAAGTCGTTAGATGATCTCATCCTAGATGAGCTCATTCAGTTACTGTACTGACTTTAGTGGGTCTGCTGGTAAACCTAGTCCTTTCAGACCTATTCTCAGCTCAGTCACATTCCCTTGACTTCCTAGGGATTCTGTGGGTCTCCAGAGATATCTGCAGCCTGGTAGATCAAGCCCTGGGTGAATGCAGTAAGATAAGAGATGAGAGAGTGAAAATCCTGATGCTGCCAAAGCTGGTATTTCTATGTCTGGTTAGGTGGCTTCTTATTGCAAGGGATTCTGTGCTGTATTCTGCAAAATCTAGGTGCAAAACTTGGGTTGGTGACTTCTTCATGCTTAAATCTCTTTATAGTCCTAACTTAATTCTTTTAAAAAGCGTACACCTCTGATTGCACTTGCTCTGCAAGTGCAGGTGATACTCTCCCTCTGTACCTTACTAGCATAGGACAGAAAACTGGAGACTAGTGTAGGACAGAATACTGGTCTCCACTGTAGACCCAGTGGAGTCTTTTGCATGTAAAGACTCTGGATTTGTCTTTCCACGTGGTAGTACTTTTCTTAATAAACTTGTTTGAAGTGCTGTCTGGTATTGGTTTTTTTATGGAGTGTTTTATTAGCATTACTCTTGGCCTGTAGATCATAGTGTGACTTCTCTGAGATGCAGTCTATAATACGTTAACTGCGTGGAACAGAAACCTGCCATTTGCAGGCAATGTAATTCTCCAGTGTCAGGGGCTTTCTCTGTGGCTCTGAAAAGTTTTAGAGTGAATTCTGCATAAGTGACAATGGCTGTGGTAAAGCAGCAAAACTAAGGGCCTTCAAACTGATCTTTAAGGAATTGTGTGAGAAAGTAAAACTTAAGCGTTGCTGCAGCTGTAATAGATTCCCCAATACCTGGTTGCTTGTCACTTTGGTTCTCTGGTTATGTGAGGTTTGATTTTCTTCAGAGAATATCCTTCATGTCCGAGAGCATTTTTTTTCAGGCAGCGCACCCAGCAGAGGTGCATTTCAGAAGGATTTGGAGATTGTTTTCGCTGCGTGCGGTGGAGGAGGCAGGTTGGCTGTTGTGACTGTGCCGGTGGCAGGTGAGAGGTGGAGGGGCTGTAGCTGAGCTTGTTGCAGCCAGGAGCAGAGGAGTGTGCTGGAGTGCCGCACCGGAACTAGGACTGAGAGTGGGAAGAGCTGAAGGGACAGGATCAGTGAGCTCATCTCCACCTCAATTCACTGATAATCATCACAGAGGGGGAAAGAGCAGAACTGCTTGTAGTAGAGAAGAAAGGATGAAAGCATGGGGACAGAGAGAGGCAGAGGCATGGGTTACGCTTTAAAAACAAAGAGTCAGCAGCCCTAATTCCCTGTAGTAGGTGAAATGCATGCTATGAAGCTGTAGCAGCACTGTGCTTCCACTGCTCTGTCCACAGGCAGACAGGGCCCACTTGCAGTACGTTCATGTTCCCCGTCTCTGATGCTGGGGAGCTTCAGCGTGAGGAGGCAGGGTGCTGTGCCCGTGACGGAGCTGGGGGGAACCTGGAGTACCTCTTCTCCCACTGTGTCCTCTGGCTGCCAGGTCACAGCAGCAGTGATGTGGATATCTCTGGTTTATTCAGTGGCGAACAAGCAACAGTCCTTGTCATGCAAGAGGATTTATACAAGGTGTTTACTTTTGGAATAAAGCGCTACCTCCAGGGATCTAACTATGCTTGCTGGTTAATTTCCTTGCAGTGAATTGCTGTGGTTTCAGAGCAGCTGAGTTCAGGGTCTTGAATGTGAGGAGACATTCTTTAGGGGAATTTTTAAAGATTTCTTTAGTTGCACCTATTTTAGAGTACAAATGCAGCTTCACAAAGCAGCTGCTCTTGTTGAAGCAGTTTCTGTAAGGTGCAATTAGGCCCCCAGAAATCAGGCGAAGTCCTCATTAGCTGGTAAAGATGGAGTTTTTTCTGCTAAAGTCTCTGGACCCGTGTGGCCCTGTCCCTCATGAGCACCTGCCCTGATGCTGTGCCCAAGGCATGTGCTTTGAAGACAGATGGATGTCCAGTTTAGTCTTGGAGGGGAGAAGGTGGAAAGGGCACATGTTAGGTCTTCAAACATGTAAAAGATTGCTGCAAGAAGGGAGGGAACAAAGTTCTCTGCATCCTCTGTGGACAGGTCAAGGCTTACCTTAGAGCAAGAGACACATTAGACATTAAGAAACAAATTTCTGAACATTAAAGAGTATTAAACAATCCATTTGATTGCTGAGGGGAAAATGAGATGAATGCGATAGATATTGTGCATGGCAGAGAATGGACTAGCTGGCCTCCCAGCACCTCTGCCAGTCCTGCTTGTCTGTGACTCCTGCTTTGCAATTGTAAATGTAGTATCTTTTTTTAAGCAGCTGGATATCTCAAAGTGAATTTGTAACCAAGAATATTCCAGCTCGCCAATTTAAAGTCCTTTTTCTTCTTTTAAGTTAATTATTTTTTACAAGAAAACAAAACAAAAATCCACAGATTAAAACTGTTGGGCTAAAAAACTGTTGGGTTTGGATGAAAGCGAAGCCTCAGACAAGAAAATGTATTTCACAGGCAGTAATCAGCCATGGAGTGTGCCAAACAAATATAAGTGCATCAAAAAGGCCTTTCATGCAGTAAGATGTATTTTAAAACAAATGGGCCCTTTCGTTTGAACGTATGTTTTGCTTTGGAATTGGCCTGAAACGCTCTTCAAACAAGGCCAGCTCTCCTTCAGACAGGAGAAGCACAAACCTATTTCCCTTTCTGTCTTTGTGCTGTGGCTCAGAAGCTTTCTCCTAGTTTATTAACCAAGAGAATGAGGTCTCCTGACAAAAGTTTGACAGGTGTCTGTCTGCAGCACAGCAGGGAGTAAGGCTGCAGGAATGTCACCACCGGGCGTGCAGGTCCCTCTGCAGCTGCATCCCTGGATGTGAAATTCGTGCCCTATTCAGAACAAAAACAGTTGTAGGAGTCATTGCAGTGTTTCGAGATAGTTACAAGGTCTACTGCATAGCTGTGAAATATCAGTAGCTTCCATTGAACAAATGGGAATTTTGCTTGCGTTAAGGCTTCTAGTGTGGGTTACAGACTTTAAGCACCCCTGCTTTCTGCTCGGATGGAGGATGTGTCTTCCCCGATCATGTTTGCAGCCTGTCTGCCAGTCAGCCCCTTCCCTTCACTGGGGCATACAGGTGCATAAGACATACAAAAGGGAGGCATGCAAACACTTGGCAAATAGAGAATTTCTTTAAACCCAGGTCTTTTAAATGCAAATGAAATCTGGTGTTAGCTGCTTTTTCCTTTCGGTAGGAGTAATTTGAGCTAAGGTTTTCTACATAATAGTAATATATGCATAAAAACAATTAAGTTCTAGGAATGCTATAAACTGTTCTCTAAACCCAAGTCAGTCAGTCCCAAACAGCAAGAGAAATGGACAAAAGTGAGAGCCGAAAAGTAAGAGAAAGGAACAAGGTGCAAATATTTAGCTCCTGATACTTATCCTCACTACACTAGGAAATAACATTATGAGTAGGTTCATAAAGGGTGAATTCTCTCAGTTGGACTTTTAGATCAAGAGTAGGTGGTGTAGTTTAACTGTAAATGCCTATCTTGCTGTAGGAATCACCAAGCAAAATTCATGCTCTGTGTTAGCAGGAAGTCAGAGTTAGATGATCATGATCTTTTCTGCCCTTCCAGATTTACAGGGCAAATATACCCAAGCAGCACGGAGAAATACATGCTTAAGGTACTCCTGTAATTGTAACTTGGTTGTTTGTTGACTCTTGCCCTTCTCATCCATGATCCTTGTTTACAATAGTTTCTGATCCAGCAAGCCCTTTTTCTAAATGACTCTATTTTCTGATAGAATGTGGACCCTGACAGATTTACATAGTACTACTTAGAAAAAGAAACCAACCCAAATTTAGAATTTTAGTGTTTAAACTGTTATGGAGCAATACCAGCTTCTTTGGTTGTCCGGTGTTTGTTTGCTTGCTTGTTTTAAAAAGCAGAAACTCTGAATGTTATTTAGGAACCAATAAGCCAGATGAAACTACTGTTCTCTTAGACAAATGTGATTTTTGAGGCTGTTCTGAGAGCTGTCTCCAAGTTGCACGTGCCTTCCATGCGGTTGCTACAAATGCCTTTTGCTTATGGCTTTTTCTCCCCTTTCCCTTTGGCTTGTTTGTTTGCAGAAAAAAATGGACAGTCGGGAATACCAGGATGCACAAGGTTTTGCAGCAGATATTCGGTTAATGTTCTCTAATTGTTACAAGTACAATCCTCCAGACCACGAAGTGGTAGCCATGGCCAGGAAGCTCCAGGTAAAGGTGTTGGCAAATGTGTCTCCCAGAGTATGTTTAGTTCAGCTACCAGGTGTCGATTCAGAGATCCAGGCCTGGATCTGCTCTTGGCACCAACACGGGAGAGTTGGTGATTCCTCCGGCCCTTGGAAAGAGCCATGTTCTCTGCTGAACTATTGTGCTCTTCACATGGCATGGCCCAACGCCACGTTCCGCTCCTAAAATGTTATATTCATTGCTCTATAAAGTAATGGGAGAATTTTATTGGGCTTACAGAATACGTATGCCCATCTGTACATTATGATTTACTTGTACAGCACCAGCACCTTGTGTAGTGCAGTAAGACCCTGACCCACGATGGGGTGCCAGGTGTGTTTAAAAGACCAAAATGTCATCTTGGTGGCTGAGGCTCCTTTTGTCACCAGTTTTTCCCCCCTTTTTGTAGGATGTCTTTGAGATGAGGTTTGCAAAGATGCCTGATGAGCCTGCAGAGGCCCCACCTCCACCTCCAGCAACAGCACCAGTGGTGAGCAAAAGCACAGAGAGCAGTCACAGCCGACTCAGATAGCTCAGACTCAGAAGAAGAGCGAGCGACTCGGCTGGCGGAGCTCCAGGAGCAGGTATTGCAATGGCCAAGCTGTACATCTGTGTCTGTGCAGTAGAAAGGGCATAGCAGGAAGAAGGGTTTCATTTTTTTGTTAAAAATCCCATCTAGGCTGAGATGCAGCAAAGCAATGTCCCCTTCTGCCAGCTAAAGGGGAAAACCGCTCAGTTATGAAATAAGTGCATGTTTGATGTAATATTAATTTTCAAGATAGCCATTCTCAGTGCTGATGCTCTGTGCTTCCTTCTGGGATCCCAGAGTATGAATGAAGGTGCAGACAGTACTAGGGATCTGGGAAGAACAGAGACACCCATTTTGTATGAGAGCTCAGGCATAACGAGATCTGTCACAGGCTTCCTGTGGGATATTGTCCCCCTGTACCTCATCTGTAGAAGTGAGCTGTTTTGACTGTTGTGGTTGGAGACGATAAAGCTGTGGCCTTCTTATTATGCAGATTTACAATACCAGATGCTACAGTGCTTACATACGCTACTGTAATATAACAAAGCATTAATAAAATAGCTTATCCGGTGTCTCAAAGCAAGCTAGTAGGAGAGCCAAGAAGTGAACCCAGGATTCCAGAGGCCACGTTGTTAGCTCTAGATGGAGCTATTAAGATTAATTTTTATTTGCCCCTATAAAACAAGAATGATGTTTTCATTTGAGCCAACTTCTGCACACTTGCACTGCATTTTTTAAAGAATTTCAAATCAAGCAAAGCCTCCTGAGTTCAGTCACTAGACTGCTTGATCACTGACTTGGGGGTATACTTACACGTTGGGATGTAGAGGAAGGGTATGTAGAGGCATCAGTTATCTTGCCTTGAAGTCTGATTTATTTTCTCACTGTTCTCCCCCAGCTAAAGGCTGTCCATGAGCAGCTAGCTGCATTGTCACAAGCACCAGTGAACAAACCAAAGAAAAAAAAAGAGAAGAAGGAAAAAGAGAAGAAGAAGAAAGATAAAGAGAAGGAAAAAGAAAAGCACAAAGTAAAAGCTGAGGAGGAGAAGAAACCCAAGGTGGCTCAACCACCAAAACAAACCCAACAGAAGAAGGCCCCAGCTAAGAAAGCAAACAGCACGACTACAGCTAACAGGTGAGAGCCTGCTTTCTGCATGTTGCCTTAAGGGGAATGCCAAGAGCTTCCAGCCCAGTTCTCCTGTCCCTCCTGCCCCTGTCGAATTCCTGGTGAAGCTCGGTTGTCAGAGCAGTTAATTCGCTATTGAATAGTGTCCCCATTCCCAGACAACTCCAGGGAGTCTTTAAGTTAGAGCTGGCAGTGGAACCATCATATTTCCACTGTCCAACTCTCTCAGAATCCTTGCCTGATCACTCTCAGATAAGGTTTTCTTTTTGCCTTTTGCGCAGCCAGCAAGAACGTGCCATTTCATTGCTGCCCCCCTGCTGCTACATGGGCTTGTTGTCATGCCTCACAGGGCTAAAATATAATAGGAGTAGGACAGCTGATCTCAGATTTCTGAACTTTTTCAGAAGTTGTGGTGCTGTTCAAGCCGTCTGGCTAGAGGTTCAAAGCCAAGAGCATTGGGATGTTTGTTACAAGGGGAGTAGAAAAATTAATTCATTGCTCCTATATACCCATGAATGTTTCCATGCTTGCCAACCCCTGCAGGCAGCCCAAGAAAGGAGGCAAACAGGCGTCTGCAACCTACGATTCAGACGAGGAGGAGGAAGGTCTGCCCATGACCTATGATGAGAAACGGCAACTCAGCTTGGACATCAACCGCCTGCCTGGGGAGAAGTTGGGCAGGGTGGTGCACATCATCCAGTCGCGGGAACCTTCCCTCAGAGACTCCAATCCTGATGAGATAGAAATAGATTTTGAAACATTGAAGCCCACAACTTTACGAGAACTGGAGAGATACGTGAAATCTTGTTTACAGAAAAAACAAAGGAAACCATTTTGTAAGTTACCTCCTGGGGCACGTGTTCCCCCACCAGCTCTTGGGCTCAGCTTTGGAGTCAGGGCATGTGTGTTGGGATTCTCTTATCCAGCTGTTGGGTATGTGATGACAGGGCTTTTTAGAGACTCTTTTCTCCCATGAAAATGTACAGAAACTTTGTACTTTTATGTTCTCTCTTCCCATGATGTCATGCCGTGGAGACCTGGAGGACTATTGTGTTCCTCTACAAGACCCATGTGATGCCTTTATTACTTAATGTAGAATCTAGAAGGCACTGTAAAGGTTTCAGTCTCATTGTGTTAGGTGTTATGTGCACATGTCTAGAAGGATCAGTTTCTTATCCTGAATAGTTCAGCATCTAATTACAAATGAAACAAAAAGCGTGGTTGGGATCCCAAACACCAAGGGAAGAAATGACTTGCACTAAGTTACGTGGGTTACTGTGGATTACTGGGTGTAAGTGTCTGAGTTGTATATTCACCCCAGAACTGCTCTTCCTAGATGGCCTGACCACCGTATTACCCTCAGTCTCTATCAGATCAGAGGATTAATGTTAATGCGCTGCTGAGCATACGGTATGGTATGGGACAGACTTTTCTCTGTGCCTCATCCACAGAGAGTGAATTGTTGCAGTCCCTTGAGAATTTAGCTCCAGCTGAATAGCAATAGGATCACTTACCTGAAGTGGTCCTGGCTCTGTCCATCTGCTTGCTGGTTAAGAGGAAGTTGTCCTGTTAAGAGTATAATAGTTACTCACTCACAACTCTTGCAGAGCACTTCCATTTCTTCACCACAGGATTTTCAAGTAGGCCTAAGCAAAGCTCAGACTTTGACCCTTCTTTTTGCTTTTTAATACACTGCTTTGATTTTCCTACCCCCCCTACCGCTCCCCCAAGTCCTTCACTTTTGGAGTAGCTCAGGAAAAGATTTTCCATAATGGTTAGGAACAAGAAGCATCCTTTTGTTTTGGAACCAAAGCGTAGAGTAACACAGATAACCTCAGACATCTGTCCGTCCGCGCCTCTGAGACTGGTATGCCCTGGGCTGGCAGGCTGGCATGCCTGATCCCAGCCGGATTTTCCTGCTCTCTGCTGTCTATTGCAGTGCTTAATGTTCAGGGGTGCACCCTCTTAGGACTGTGCTTTCTAGATTTCTTTTTTTTAAATCATTGCTTTAAAACAGCACACAGAAATGTAGGTATTTCCTTCCTGGATCAGGCGAAATATCTGGCCCCTGTTTTGTGCTTCTGATACTGGCCAACACCTGTGTTCAATTACTCCTTCTTTGGAGGGATATTTCTTCTGCTCAGAAGTATGAGTATCGCTGGTACTTCTCATCATTTCCATCCTAACTGATGCAGCTACATTCCTGTTGTCTGCCAGCCTTTGCCTCAGTTGGTTTTTAATTTGTCCTTTTCATTTTGTTTTATATTTAAAGCAACATAAACCACAGTAGATTCTTGTGTGAGGTATCTTAAGTTTTAATGGCAGATGCTTACTTCTGACAACCTTTAATGGGACACTTTATTTTACAGGGCAGAAAACCCATGTAACAATTCTGTAATTACAAATGTGTAACTATTGACCATATAACTGGCTGGTAAGTAACCTGTAACTACAAGATTATTACATGGATATTTCTATCTTCTAAAATACTTTCCAGAAGGTCTCTCTTAAAAAGTGCATTTTACAGGATGATGGTGATTGGATGATCTAGACAACTTCATGTGTTGTCCTCTATCTGGGATGTGTAGTTGCTGTGTGGTCACTCGATCTTAGCAGTGTCACTGCGGAGTGGTTGCACAGATTTACATGCCCTGTAAAATAGCGATGTCCACTCTTTTTTGCCTGCAACCATGCAGTTTCAGAAATTGTGCGTTCCTCCTCCACAGCTGCAAGTGGAAAAAAGCAAGCAGCAAAGTCAAAAGAAGAGTTAGCTCAGGAAAAGAAGAAAGAACTAGAAAAACGGTTACAGGACGTCAGTGGGCAGCTAAACAACAACAAGAAACCTGCAAAGAAGGGTAATGGCTTTGGTTTTACTGTGCTAACAATGCCTGAAAAGTTGTGTATGTAGATAGACGTCCTTACTGAGGCAAAACTACTGCCTTCTTGTAGGCTTGGGTTTATCTCTGTGGCAGTTACCCCAGTTGGTCACTAGTGTTGGGGCACAGTGAGTTACTGCTGGGCACTGAGCTACTCTGTGGGGGCTGCTTTGGTCCCTGTCCAGGTGGAAGCACTCCTGGGTGGTAAACGTGAGATATCTTGGAGGCAATTTATCCTTCAGATGGAGAAGGACCTTCTCCTCTGTTAGCCTGTGCAGGACTGTGCATATGCGGAGTATCTAATAGATAATTTTTCTCCACTGTGGGATTAAAAAAAGCTCAAGCTCCCATGTAGTGCAATAGTGTGAAAGATGGTACAAAAGGTTCTTCCAGTGCAAACTAAGCTTGTTTCTGCTTTGCACAAGTCAGGCAGGGTTTTCTTGTGTTCAGAGGTTGCACTGAAGCACGCGAGGCTGTGAACACAGCTCCCCAGGTGCTCTGCGCCATCTCATATGAGCACCATGGGGCTGTGGAGGACATTGCCCTCCCACAGGGCTCGTGTGTGGATCCCAAACTTTCGTGGTCACCTGCAGCCTGAGAAACCTTGCCATCCGCTGATGTGACAGGCCTTGTTGCAGCAAGCAAAGGCTGCGGGTAAATAAGCTGCCCAGGCAAAACAAAGCTGTGAATGAAGCCGTGGAGGATGAAGGCTGTGGGCAAACCTTCTCTATTTCAGTTCCTTGCAAGTAACCACATCGCTGCCTTCTTCCCTGCAGAGAAATCCGGCTCAGCTCCCTCCGGAGGCCCTTCCCGGCTCAGCAGCAGCAGCTCCTCCGAGTCTGGGAGCAGCAGCTCCAGCGGCTCCAGCTCAGACAGCAGCGATTCGGAATGAGTTACGGACACTTACACACAAAACACAAAATGGACATCACCCTCTCCGATGTTCTGCAGTGTTCCTTTCTCTCCTTAATATACTGCTCTTGTTCCACGGTGGTCAGGTTTTTTTTCCTCTCTCTTTCTCTGACTTTTTAATTTTATTTTTTAATTCAGTGTTATAAAAGGTATCTTCCATTTTTTTGGGGGGCGCTCTTTTAATAGGTCAAAGATCTTTGCGTGTGCATGTGTGTGTGACTAGACTTTATGACAAATAGTTCCCTTTGCATAAAGTCTCTAAAATACATTTTAACTGAAGAAGATTGGTTGAAAATGGAAGAACTTTGAATTCTTAGCAGGAGATAAATAGAAAGTTCTGCAAGGTTTGTAGTACATTTCCCTCACACCCCTTCCCTCTCCCCAGAATGTTCTCTTTTAATAAGCCTGCCTGGCTCACACAAGGTAAAAAAAAATCTTTTTTTTTTTTTTAAGAAATCTTTGTAAAATGGTACTGTATCTGAAAGATGTTAGCTTTTGAACTAGTTGGTGTATTTGTTATTAGCACTAGTATTCTTAATCTCAAAGTCTACAGTGTGATGAAAATGTCAGATGCTATCATCTTTTTACATAAAAACAAAAAAGTTCTCATGTACTGTGGATTGCTAACATGCTTTTTTTTTTTAATCTTGGTAGAGGCATAGGCACTTGTTCAGGAAGGTATTTAAGCATGAACTTAACTTTAAGCACATGAGCAATAGAAGTGGTTGCATTTCTTGGTTTTCCACTCAAAATTTTCATTTTTCTTGGGGGATATGTTGGGAAGAAGGGAGCAAGGGACACTCAAGTTTCTTGGGAATGTTATTTTTAACATCACATAGATAATTTCCAGGAAATTGACACTCTCTGAGTGTTTTCATTTAATTGAAAACAGTTTTTGGCTGGAAGTTCTCAGCTGGACCGCAGAGTGATCCCTGCAGAGTGACCAAGGCAAGTCATGTGCTCGTTATTAGACAAATGCTTAAGTACTTTCTCCATGACAAGCACCTCCATTTGGGCTTAAAATAAAGGAGCACTTGAGCTCCAGCTGAGGCTGAGCTGGCAGGGGAATTGGAGAGGGATGTTGTGTGTGTTTGAGGGTTTTTTTTTTCCCCCTCCTTAATGTTTCAATAGTGAGCTCCTAGAAAGGGAATGCTACTTTGTGTCATGCAGGGTGCAGGTTTCCAGACACTGAAATGCTTACCTCAATAAAAAGAAAAAAAAAAAAAATAAAAAAGAGACAATTTTTTAAGGCTTGCAATTTTTTGAGTCCAGCCTAATGTTTTGACCTGCACTGCTGCAATACACTCTGTTTTCACTGTCCCTAGTTTCATGTATATGTAAGTACTTTATTTATTAAACACCATTGGTCATTTAAAACTTACTAAAAAAAAATAAAAGCAAAGCTGCATTATGCAGACCAGCAGAAATGCAGACTTTTAATGTGGTTTGAACCAGATTTTAAAAAAAAACAAAAACAACAAATAAACAACAAAAAAGCAAATAAAAACCTGAGACTTTATTTAAATCCAGTGGACTTTATACCTACAGGTGCTACAGTCCAGTCTATTGTGTGTCTGGTGCTCTGTCATATTTGGTGTGTTCATTTTTGGGTTTGTTTTCTCTCTTCTTTATCTTTTCACCCCAACCCCCTTTTTTCCTGTTTTGTACAGATTTTTGAGACATACAGGTAGATACAATTTCTTGATGCAGCACATTATTATTTTCTCTGTAATATTTCCAGAGGTCTTTTTTCCCCCCTCTTTTTTTTTTGTTTTTGTATAACAGTGGGTTTTTTCTTTTATAATCCAATTTTAGGAAAACACCAGTTCTATAATTATATAAAATTTGTAATCTGAGGGGCAGAAATTTATTGTAAATTCTTAACTTTTTATTGTAAAGAAAAAATATACAGAGTTTAACAGAAAGTTATGCCTTTCCTTCTCCCAGCACCAGCCCCTAAGGCTGCCTATCTACTGTGGGGTAGCCCTAAAATTCACCCTGCTGTGGTGTCTAATAATGGTTTGCCAGGGGCCCTGTGGTGCAGATTGCACCAACTTTTATTTCTCACATAGGTGAGCGGCCCTGGAGGAGGACTCAGCCCCAGCATATGATTTGCATTGCACGCTCAGCCTCCAAGAGCTAGGACAGGAGATCGCGTGCTGGGATGTGAGGTGTCTGGGGGATGTCCCTTTACTGGAAAGCCAGGGAAGCACAGGGCCAGCCCATTATTAGCACTCCATGGTTTGCACTTCTAACTGCACCCACGCTCAACTGCCAGTCACTTACTGCCCATCGAGTGAGGTTTTATAAGCTAGACACTTATGCATTTGTCTTTAAAAATCTATCTTTCAAAAGATCAGCATTTCAGAGTGTTCAGATGTGCGTCTCATACAGCTGACATGCCTCTGTCCATGTCTTACCTGTGTAGTGACAAAAACATACTCTCCACAGTTTGCTGTAGAAAAGAATTCCCATTTTTTTGCTAAGTGCTGAGAGCGTGATGCTGTGTTGCTGTGAGGCACTGAGTTCCTCCTATAAGTTGCTGGGCATCTTCGGCTGATTTTGCAATCACCGGGATGCTTGGCTTGTTGGCAGGAGGCTCTCAAGTCTTTCCAGATAGTTTCCCATAGTATTTGAAAGTGGATGAACTAGGGTATTCTGATTCTTACTGAAATTAATGATTTTTTTTTTTCCATTAACAATGGAGTTATTTTTAGTTCCTATATTTTTTTTAAATTCTGCCCTTAAAAAAATCTTTCTCTAGACAAATTCTTAGTAATATATTTTCGGAATTTACTATGAGGAAATGTAATATACACCTAATTAAGAGCTTAGGGTTTTTTTTTAATGGGGTTGGCTTTCATTTGTGTTTCTCCTGTTGTCTGAGACTTGCATTATCAAAACCAACTAGTATTTTAATTAAAATAATTGCAACCAATTCAATACCATGACAACTTGGATAAACAAGCTCCTGGTTTTCCCTGCTTGAAAACTTTGTCTGTGTGCATTAACCTGAGCTATGCCGTTGATGTAACATGGTGGTCGCTGTGGACAAAATGTGCTCCTGTGCAGTGAACAAACCACAGCGGTGTTGGAGGCAATAGCAGCCCGCCCGGCAGCCGCTCTCGCCAGCATCACCACCACACAAAGCCCAGGAACCTGGCTCTGCCACGTGCCACCATCCTCCGACGCTGGGGGCAACCCTGCTGACTACAGCCAGGGTACACAGACATTCCTCTAGCACGCATAGGTCTGTCCCACTGAAATCAGTGGAAAGGTACAGCCGAAGGGTTGGGGACCAAGCGTGAAGTGATGGAAAGGGGCCTGGCCTGGGACTGCCTGCAGTGCTGGAGGAGGATCCCTCTTTTATTTGGCAAACCTGTCCTAGCTTGGGGATTTGCAAGGAAAACAAGCAACCAAAACCACCAAGGAATATGAAGAACCACCTGCGTATCTTTGATATACCCAGCTGTGACTTGGGCTACCATTTACTGGGAAACTTTGTTTTCATGGGAAGTAAGGTGTTCCCTATGAAATGGCAGTTCACAGGGGAAATCCATTTTGGCATGACCTTCATTTCAGGAAAGAAATTGGTGACTCTTCATTTCAAAATGTTGTTCTTACACTTTTTCATTTTCACATTGTTTGTAGTGCTCATTATCTCCCGACATGTCAGTAGTGGTGCCTCTTGTATCTCCAGCTCAGAGTGTCTCCAGGAAAGAAGAGATGTTTTCAGTCCATAGTAAGTAGGAGCAGCCCTTAATGAGTTGGAAACTGAAACAATAGAGCATTTACTTAACTGAGTTTGTATTGCATGACATGTCAGTACAGATGTCATGAAATAACTTTAAAATGATCAAACATAGAACATTTGAAATAACATGTTTAAACTTAAGAATAAAAAAAGATTGAAATTTTTATGGTAGAATTTTTCTTGAATGAACAAAGTTTAACTTTGTTTTCCAGGGGAAACTTTGCTGAAATCAGTATGATTTCTTATGTATACATACACACAAATAGTTTTATTGAAACTGTTTTTTCTGACAAATTTGTTTGACAAAACAATATCTGACCAGACCTATTATCAATCAACCAGCATTACTGCACCTTTAAAAACTTTGTTAAACTTTATCTGATTGTAAGGTCAGCCTGTTTCTTGGCGTACCATCAGATGTAGGCTCAGTGGGACCAGAGCAAGATCCGCATCCCATGGGCTCAGGCCCTGATCCACCTACTAAAGGAATCTGTTGTGTACAACAGTTTTCTGCTAACCAAATGTTGTCTATACAAAATCATTTCAGTTTTGTATTGATGCGATTTTAAACTTTCCTACCGACAGGGTTTGTAACTGTAGAACTGGTATTTCAGGACTATGTAACTGTTGTTTGTGAGTGTGTGTATAATAGATGCACGCACCCACACACACACATACACAAGCACGTGTGTGCGTGTATATATACAAATTAGTTACCCAGTGAGGTCTCTTTCCATGTTCTCTATGTGGTAGAAGCAGACTGCAGTTACCTAATCTAGTTCTTTCTCTGTTTTGGGGACTCTTAGACCAGTTTTTAATTTTTTCCTTGTTTTGAAAGGAATGATGTTTTTTAAAGTTGGGGTTGGAGCTAGGGGGAAGGGATCGGGGCATGACAAAGGAAAACCACAACCTTTTTAGTACTGGATTTTAAAAAGACTAATTCTCAAACATAAGCAGTTACCACTAGGGCTAACTGTGGGCAGGCTCTGCATTGTTGAAGATAAATTTAGGGCAAGGATTCATTACACTAGCAGCATTATCTTGCTTGTAAAACAATGAGATGCATTTTTTAAAAGAAATGGTATTTGCATATCTTTTTAAATGTCATTTTTAAAAATAAACAAACCACCAGCTAGGATTTGACACAGGCCACTTAGAACTTACCCCTGATACCGGCATAACCAATCCAGAAAGATTTGTTGTTGTATTTTTGTTTTGGTTTTTTG